GTTAGAGTAACACAGAATGTTAGAGTAACGCGGAATGTTAGAGTAACGCGGAATGTTACAGTAACACAGAATGTTTAGAGTAACACGGAATGTTAGAGTAACGCGGGAATGTTAGAGTACACGGAATGTTAGAGTAACGTGGAATGTTAGAGTAACACGGAATGTTAGAGTAACACGGAATGTTAGAGTAACACGGAATGTTAGAGTAACACGGAATGTTACAGTAACACGGAATGTTAGAGTAACCCGGAATGTTAGAGTAACACGGAATGTTAGAGTAACACGGAATGTTAGAGTAACACGGAATGTTAGAGTAACACGGAATGTTACAGTAACACGGAATGTTAGAGTAACACGGAATGGTAGAGTAACGTGGAATGTTACAGTAACACGGAATTTTAGAGTAACACGGAATGTTACAGTAACGCGGAATGTTAGAGTAACGTGGAATGTTACAGTAACACGGAATGTTAGAGTAACATGGAATGTTACAGTAACACGGAATGTTAGAGTAACGTGGAATGTTAGAGTAACGTGGAATGTTAGAGTAACACGGAATGTTAGAGTAACGTGGAATGTTAGAGTAACGTGGAAATGTTACAGTAACACGGAATGTACAGTAACACGGAATGTTAGAGTAACGTGGAATGTTACAGTAACACGGAATGTAGAGTAACACGGAATGTTAGAGTAACGCGGAATGTTAGAGTAACGCGGAATGTTACAGTAACACGGAATGTTAGAGTAACACGGAATGTTAGAGTAACGCGGAATGTTAGAGTAACACGGAATGTTAGAGTAACGTGGAATGTTAGAGTAACACGGAATGTTAGAGTAACACGGAATGTTAGAGTAACACGGAATGTTAGAGTAACACGGAATGTTACAGTAACACGGAATGTTAGAGTAACACGGAATGTTAGAGTAACACGGAATGTTACAGTAACACGGAATGTTAGAGTAACACGGAATGTTAGAGTAACACGGAATGTTAGAGTAACACGGAATGTTAGAGTAACGTGGAATGTTACAGTAACACGGAATGTTAGAGTAACATGGAATGTTACAGTAACATGGAATGTTAGAGTAACGTGGAATGTTACAGTAACACGGAATGTTAGAGTAACACGGAATGTTAGAGTAACGTGGAATGTTAGAGTAACACGGAATGTTAGAGTAACACGGAATGTTAGAGTAACGCGGAATGTTAGAGTAACGTGGAATGTTACAGTAACACGGAATGTTAGAGTAACGTGGAATGTTAGAGTAACGCGGAATGTTAGAGTAACACAGGATGTTAGAGTAACGTGGAATGTTAGAGTAACACGAAATGTTAGAGTAACGTGGAATGTTAGAGTAACACGGAATGTTAGAGTAACGTGGAATGTTAGAGTAACACGGAATGTTAAAGTAACATGGAATGTTAGAGTAACACGGAATGTTAGAGTAACGTGGAATGTTAGAGTAACACGGAATGTTACAGTAACACGGAATGTTAGAGTAACGTGGAATGTTAGAGTAACACGGAATGTTTCAGTAACACGGAATGTTACAGTAACACGGAATGTTAGAGTAACACGGAATGTTAGAGTAACACGGAATGTTACAGTAACACGGAATGTTACAGTAACACGGAATGTTAGAGTAACGTGGAATGTTAGAGTAACGTGGAATGTTAGAGTAACGTGGAATGTTACAGTAACACGGAATGTTACAGTAACACGGAATGTTAGAGTAACGTGGAATGTTACAGTGACACGGAATGTTAGAGTAACACGGAATGTTAGAGTAACACGGAATGTTAGAGTTACACGGAATGTTAGAGTAACGCGGAATGTTAGAGTAACGTGGAATGTTACAGTAACACGGAATGTTAGAGTAACGTGGAATGTTAGAGTAACGCGGAATGTTAGAGTAACACGGAATGTTAGAGTAACGTGGAATGTTAGAGTAACGTGGAATGTTAGAGTAACACGGAATGTTACAGTAACACGGAATGTTAGAGTAACACGGAATGTTAGAGTAACACGGAATGTTAGAGTAACGTGGAATGTTACAGTAACACGGAATGTTACAGTAACACGGAATGTTAGAGTAAAGTGGAATGTTAGAGTAACACGGAATGTTAGAGTAACGTGGAATGTTACAGTAGCACGGAATGTTAGAGTAACGTAGAATGTTAGAGTAACACGGAATGTTACAGTAACACGGAATGTTACAGTAACACGGAATGTTAGAGTAACATGGAATGTTACAGTAACACGGAATGTTACAGTAACGTGGAATGTTACAGTAACGTGGAATGTTACAGTAACACGGAATGTTACAGTAACATGGAATGTTACAGTAACACGGAATGTTACAGTAACACGGAATGTTAGAGTAACATGGAATGTTACAGTAACACGGAATGTTAGAGTAACACGGAATGTTAGAGTAATGTGGAATGTTAGAGTAACACGGAATGTTACAGTAACACGGAATGTTAGAGTAACACGGAATGTTAGAGTAACGTGGAATGTTAGAGTAACACGGAATGTTAGAGTAACACGGAATGTTAGAGTAACACGGAATGTTAGAGTAACATGGAATGTTACAGTAACACGGAATGTTAGAGTAACACGGAATGTTAGAGTAACACTGAATGTTAGAGTAACACGGAATGTTAGAGTAACGTAGAATGTTAGAGTAACACGGAATGTTAGAGTAACACGGAATGTTACAGTAACACGGAATGTTAGAGTAACACGGAATGTTAGAGTAACACGGAATGTTACAGTAACACGGAATGTTAGAGTAACACGGAATGGTAGAGTAACGTGGAATGTTACAGTAACACGGAATTTTAGAGTAACACGGAATGTTACAGTAACGCGGAATGTTAGAGTAACGTGGAATGTTACAGTAACACGGAATGTTAGAGTAACACGGAATGTTACAGTAACACGGAATGTTACAGTAACACGGAATGTTAGAGTAACACGGAATGTTAGAGTAACGTGGAATGTCACAGTAACACGGAATGTTAGAGTAACACGGAATGTTACATTAACACGGAATGTTAGAGTATCTTGGAATGTTAGAGTAACACGGAATGTTAGAGTAACACGGAATGTTACAGTAACACGGAATGTTAGAGTAACGTGGAATGTTAGAGTAACACGGAATGTTAGAGTAACGCGGAATGTTAGAGTAACACGGAATGTTACAGTAACACGGAATGTTAGAGTAACGTGGAATGTTAGTGTAACACGGAATGTTAGAGTAACGCGGAATGTTAGTGCCAGTGCTTTGCTGCTGACACAACGTCGGTGGCCTGCAACTCGCCCGTCTCTCTTCGACGCGTTTTGCGTGCTCAAGATCAACGTGTCGGCTCTGAACACAGTGACAATGCACGGCCATTGCTATGACAATACAATGAGAAATACATATATATATACAGATATATATACACCGTCTAGCGTCGCGCAAACTGTTGATAAGGGACGTTGTGGCTGTGAGTTCGTCGTTGTTGTGTGCAAAAATCCGTGGTGTTGGGTTGGGACTGTGAGTGTGGTGGTGGTGTTGATGGAGTCAAGAGTGTGCCGATTGCTCTTGAGGGGTTGTACCAGAGATGTGGTGCTGCAGATGAGAAAGATCTGTCACCCAGGATCAATATTATGAAATTCGCCTTTTGCCCGTCCAAAGACATATTGCTGTAAATTTGAAACTTGCAAGCGAAAATCAGAACGCGACGTGATACTCATTGCATTACCGCGCGTGCAGTTTGTAAGGGCGCGGTGACACAGACTTGTTTCATTTTTAGGTTATAATCCCTTGTTCAGCATGACGTCCTTTTTACTTCTGTCTCAACAACAGCGTGACGGAGATCACGTGACGTGATGAGGGTTCTGCCTTTGTAGTGAGGGTTGTGAGTTGACGCCGAGGAGGGGGGAGGAGGCGCCTCACCCCCCCCCCCCATGTGGAGTGACGTCACCCGCTAATTATTATGAATGGGGGGGGGGGGCGATGTGGAGTGACGTCACGAGCGGTAAGGACAGACATTCCTGGGTGATTATAGTGGGTATAGCAAGGCGAATGAGACAAGGTTCACGCGCTGCTTTTATTCAGTGTTCTCACTGAGTGGGCACTGCCTGCTACGGGCGCGGCGCTCGTTGAGACGTTTCAGGCGGTACAGATCTTCACCAGAAGCGACCTGGCCACAAATTGACAAGCTCAATGACAAGTGGCTTTTATCGTCGTTAGGACATTCATAGCAGCCAAATAATCCGAATGCACGTTGATTCAGAATGTGGAGGCAAAAACCGGAGGAACCCGGAGAGACAAACTCACGCGGCCACGGGGAGAAGGAACAAGCCAACTCCAAATGAAGAGTAACTGGCTCTTTGTTTAAATGCTTCCGACGCCACTTGATGATTTCATTTGTCGTGAGCTGCAGGTTTCTTAATGACAGATTTGGGCACAGATCGTTCCGTGGGCTAAGCCAAAAATGATGAATCGGTACCGTCTGAGAAAGCTACGACACATTTATATTTACACCATCTCACCCAAAAGTGCTTTATTATTATGGAGAACAAAAACACATTTACCTGTTGACCTTCCTCGAGATGGGGGAAGGCTTACGGTCACGTTTTGATTTGATTCTTTTCGCTTGGCTAATTAACCGTAGCGAGGCATTTTGTAACGTATGTGATGTTTACATTGTCCAGGTCTCTGATTGTCGCGGCGCTCCTGCTGCTCCTGCTGCTGCTCCTGCTGCTGCTGCTCCTGCTGCTGCTCCTGCTGCTGCTGCCTGCTGCTGCTCCTGCTGCTGCTCCTGCTGCTGCTGCTGCTGCCTGCTGCTGCTCCTGCTGCTGCTGCCTGCTGCTGCTCCTGCTGCTGCTGCTGCTGCCTCATACGCCGCCTGCCTCGCATGCGGTGGCCGCGCTTGTTGTTGAATGTGTGCCGTGACCCAGTTTCCCCAATTACTTAGATTTTTGTTGTTGTTGTTGTTGTTCCAGCCCCTTCACTCGAGCCATTTACGAGCAGAGAAACGTGGGATTGAAGCGACGGTAAAGTGGCTCACGCAGCTACGGGGTTACGGGGTGTCGCGGCTACGCAGCTACAGGGCTACGCGGTGTCGCGGCTACGCAACGCTCTGCAGCCGCCATCGCTGGTGACGATAGCAATGACGATCTCGCCCCCAGCAGCACTTTCGATTCCGTGTGTCGTTTTGTTAAAGATTTACATTTCTAATCGCTCTGCGGGCAATGAAAATTAATCAACTTTACCAATGCACATAGCGCGTTGATCTCCACGTAGCTTGTGTTTGCCTCAATATGAACACGTCCGTTTCTTTTCGTTATTGCTTTTCTTGAAAATCGGATTTATAAAATGCACAATAAACGCACGATGCCAAATAGGATCGTGCGTTGTCAAAGTTTTAGCACAGGCGCACACGTGGAGGAGGCTGTCTTTGTTGTAGGCCAATCAGTTTCAAGGACAATGCGTACACTATTATCAAAGCACGTTTCTTTGCATGATTTACCACAAGCGTGATGTGTGGTCAGCGCAGACTTGCCCCGCGCCTCCAATTAGCACGGTTGGCTACGTACGGGCGCAAAAGAAATGAAACATGTGCACAGACATGACCACGCCTCGCGGTACGTATATATTTGGCGTTTGAACATCTCGATACCTCCCGTGATTTTTTTTGACGTTTGCGGAAAATGCGTGGCGCGATTCGGCCATCAACGCCGTTCCCCACCAGTGACAGAAGCGTGCCGTTCTATTCTCAGGCAATTCTTTTTTACTTATTAAACTAAACTTTTTTTATTTCACCAGGTTAGGCCCCACTGAGCTATGTAGCTCTTTTTCAGAAGCGACCTGGCCATCACAAATGATAGCTCAACGAGTGGGCTTATCGTCATCATCACGTGGACATTTCAAGCAGCAGCCAAATACTCTAAACGCGTGACGTTGTTTCTAAATGTGAAGGGTAAAAACACACGATCACGGTGAGAGAGACACGCAAACTCCAAATATACAGCAGCAGCAGGCGTCAGGGTCGTGATCGAACACACGACCTCCTGCATACCCGGCAAGGTAGTTAACATCTCCCCACCGAGGTGTGCTGCTGCCGAGGCTGCCCGTTGTTTTGTCGAAGCCGGACACCACCACGATTAGTGGCGCCTGCAGTGACTGTGTACGCACGCAGTGACCGCTTTGTGTACGCACGCAGTGACTGTGTACGCACGCAGTGACCACTTTGTGTACGCACGCAGTGCCTGCTTTGTGTACGCACGCAGTGCCTGCTTTGTGTATGCACGCAGTGCCTGCTTTGTGTATGCACACAGTGACTGTGTACGCATGCAGTGACTGTACGCACGCAGTGACTGTGTACGCACGCAGTGCCTGCTTTGTGTATGCACGCAGTGCCGCTGGCGAGGTGCACTCCCACGCAGGCGGTGCTGTGGCCGCCGGGTTGCAAGCGACGTGGAAAGACGGACACGCGGAGAAGGAGACATCGCTTTAACACGTTGGCTTTCGCGACCAATATTATCCATGATAAAGGTTTTTTTGGGCTAGATAGATGTGTGTCGGGTGGTGAGGGGTTTAACAACAAATTTATATTCACGCGATCTAACCCAAAAACCTAATACGGAGGAGGCATCGTCTGCTGATGGTTTTTTATATTGTCATTATGTGTGAAAAAATTGCTGCATTTATTCTCAATGTTTTTTTGCAAAAACATTTTTAGAAGAATAAACGAGGTCATTATGAATAGTACATCGTTTTTCAAGTTTATGTAAATTGCTGTTACAAATTGGATACCTTGAGCATCTAAATTACAACCCAACCTTAAAACCCTGTACAAGGGAGACGTGATGTTTTACGAGGGGTGTTATCATGCCGTAGGTGTGGGTGTCAGTGTGTGGGTGAAATATGTAACTAATAAGCTTGTGCCGGAGGCCCCGGGGGGTCAGGCGTCTATGACGTCTCCTGGCCAAACCCCAATTGGCGGAGCCAGGAGATTGAATGTCTACCCTCGGGGCTCCTCCAGAAACAACGAAAAGCCACTACGGGTGGCCACGTGGAATGTTCGAACGCTCACAGCGGAGGAGAGGCTGCCACTCCTCTGTCGGGAGCTGGACCGGTACCGCCTGGATCTATGTGGCATTCAGGAGGTCCGGTGGACCGGCTCTGGCTCCTGCCACCATGAGGGGTGGACAGTCCTCTACTCGGGGCAGCAGACTGCCAAACAACAGGGTGTGGCTCTTCTTTTGAACAAAATAATGAAGGGGGCGTGGGAGCGTGGCGGTGAGGTGTGGGAAGCTGTAAGCCCCAGGCTACTTTGGGCTCGCCTTCCCATCAACCGGAGGCGAGGAATGGTGGTCATGGTTACTTATGCCCCCACCAAAGATGAACATCCATGGAGGGATGCAGGCAAAGGCGATGAGTCAAATGCCTTCTGTGACCTCCTGTCACAGGTGCTGGCTAAAGTGGCCCCTCGGGATAGAGTCATCATGTTGGGTGACTTCAATGCCCGAGTTGGTCATGATACTGGCACCTGGTCTGGAGTGATTGGAGGGCATGGGCCAGATCAGCTCAATAACAACGGTAGGAGGCTGCTAGATTTTTGTGCAGCCCATTGGCTTGTAATTACCAACACGCTGTTCCGGCATCGGCGCATCCACACAACATCATGGTTGTATGCCGGGTCCAAGCAAGAACATCTGCTGGACTACACAGTGATGGACCAGCGGATGCGAGCCCATGTCCTTGACACCAGGACCTACCGTGGAGCTGATCTGCCCTCTGACTAGTCATCTGTAAGATGCGCCTGCCATTCTTCCACTCCGGTGGTGGGTGTACACCCAGGACCCCATTCCAACATAAAGTGGCCTCGTCTCAGTTATTTGATGAAAGTTGCAAGCAAGAATTTCATCATCGCTTGCGGCTGGGATTGGCATCGACCCCGACTCCTCCTGATGTCGAGGGTAAATGGGCGAGGTTTAGAACTGTGACTCATACAGCTGCAATGGCTGCTTTGGGTACGCGGTCCAGACCTCCCCAGAGACCCTGGATGACAGAGGAGTTGTTCAGGATGGTTGAGAAAAAGCGACAGGCCCACTGTTATCGGCTACAGAATCCCACATCAGAGAATGAGGAGGCTTACCGCAGCCTTCGCTCGGAGGTTCGGAGAGCCGTGTGGCGCTGCAAGGATGGGTGGTGGTCGCGGGTTGCTGAGGAGATGGAGTCTGCCTCAGTGGCCCGTGATCACAAATCTCTATTTAACTCCATCAAAAAAGTAACCTGCAGCGCCACACCTATTACCATCAATAGGGGAAAAAACGGTGATCCAATCTCCGACCCCCAGGAACAGGTTTGCAGATTTGCTGAGCATTTCTGTGAGGTCCTGGGGGAGGGAAAATCCCTCAGCCAGGAAAACATCGTGGCACAAAGTGAGGATGACCTGCTGAGGCTGCGGTGCCTCAAATATTGGAAGAAGTCACCCCCTGTGAAAGGCTGGCTGAGGTGCCATCTGTTGAGGAAGTACTGAAGGCAATCCGGAGTCTGAGACCAGGAAAGGCAGCGGGCAGAGATGATCTCCCAAGCGAAATGCTGAGGGAGGGTGGCGTTTGTGCACAGACTGCCCTATATGACACCATAACAACGGTCTGGACCACTGGACGGATTCCGCAGGATTGGAAGGATGCCCTGGTGGTCCCCCTTTTTAAGAAGGGGGACCGCACAGACTGTAACAACTACAGGGGCATCTCACTCCTCAGTGTGCCGGAAAGGTCCTGGCAAGGATTATTCAGCATCGCCTTGCCAGGCACGCTGAGGAGAGGCTTGCGGAGCCCCAATGCCGTTTCAGGAAAGGGCGGTCCTGCACAGATGCCATATTTTCTGTCCGTCTGCTACAGCAGAGGTGTAGGGAATTCCAACAAGACCTACATCTCTGCTTTATTGATCTGGTCAAGGCCTATGATACCATCGGTAGGCCTGGGCTCTGGGTTGTTCTTCGTGCTTTTGGAGTACCTGACCCTCTGCTCAGGATCATTAAGGACCTTCATGATGGTGAGCGGGCCCGGGTAAAACTACGTGGCCGGGAGTCAGAGCCATTCCCTGTACACCTTGGGGTGCGACAGGGATGTCCTCTGGCTCCCACATTATTTAACATCTATTTTGACCACGTAGTTCGTGAAGCCTTCAATAGCTGTACCGGGGGAATCTCCATATGGTACAGATATAATGGGAGGCTGATCGAGGCCCGGGTGCGGTCAAGGGATGGCTCCCTATTGCTCAACCACGTTATGTATGCTGATGATTTGGTAATAGCTGCTCATTCAGAGGAGGAGTTGGAGACGCTGCTGCTGAGACTGGAGTGTGCCACTAAGAGGTGGGGCCTTACCATCAGCCCCACCAAAACTAAGCACCTGCCTGGGTATTTTGTACCATCGGACACTCCACCCCCACAACTCCCAATCGGTGATGGGGCAGTTGTGGAGAGAGTGGAGAGTTTCCCATACCTGGGCAGTGTGCTTTTGACTGGCTCCAGTTTAACAGCAGAGGTCTCACTCCAAATCAGTCGAGCGGAATATCTTTTCATCGGTTGCGTAACGCTGTGTGGAAGCTACCTGGTCTGTCGCTCCGCACTAAGCTTCAGGTCTTCTCGGCCATGGTCATTCCCTCCCTTCTCTACGCTTGCGAAACGTGGACCCCCCTAATGGAACATCTTCGCCGTTTAGAAACATTTAGGCTGGCCTGCCTACGATCCATCCTGGGTTTAACCTGACTGGATTGTGTGAGGAGCTCACAAATCCTTGAAAGATCTGGGTAAGGTCCCATCGGTGAGCTCCTCCGGCGGGGAAGGCTGCGATGGCTGGGTCATGTAGCCCGCATGCCCAGCCACCGCATGCCGAAACAGCTTTTGTTCGGCCGGATTGAGGGGGCTAAGTGGGCGTGGCACGGGCTAGAGAAGAGATGGAGTGATGTGGTACAGGAGGACGTGGAGCTGAGTGGACTTGCCGATGACTGATACCAGCGGTGTCAAGATCGGCCTCTGTGGAGGAGGCTCGTGAAGGACGCTACTGGGCAGTTGGAGGTAGTCGTTCTCCAACAACAACGGAGGGCGGAGGAGCGACGCTCAGAACAACGAGCGGAGCGCTGGGTGGCTAAAGCACAGCAGGTTGGCACAGTAGGGGGCACAGGTGGTCCATCAGCCAGTCATCTCAGTCATCTCAGTCAGTCGACCCGTGGCACCTGGGTCTGCCCCGTGACCTGCCAGCGGGCGTTCGACACTTCACGTGGCCTCAGGGTGCACATAGCCTGGCACGAGCGTCGTGGTGACGTCACCGCCACTTAGTGGCGAATGGCGGTTGTTGTTGTTGTGTGTGTCAGTGTGTCGGTGTCGGT